TATTCTATTCTATTCTATTCTATTCTATTCTATTCTATTCTATTCTATTCTATTCTATTCTATTCTATTCTATTCTATTAAATCTGTCTTCCTTCTCTTCCTGCTTTTCTCTCCTTTCTGTTATTGTGGCTTTGGTTCTTCTTCTACTAGGTACTGCATTGTTTAAAAACTGGAAAAATCAATTCTCCAAATTTTCCCCCTTTCCCCCAACAACCATTTAAGATCTTTTCCTTGCTCCATACTTTCTATAGAGCTTTGTTTCTTTCTTTCCTGTTTTATATTTTCTATAATTTCTAAACTTCTGACACCCCAACTTGCCTACAGCAACTCTTTCACAAATTGTTGCTATCTACAATTATTCATACTTCCAGGCAGACTGGGTAATCAAGAACATGCTACTTCAAGCACAATTTTAACCCTAGCTAAGTTGCACTCATGCCAGTTAAATTTCATTTATAAATGTTTTTTGTTGTGGTCTGTACATTGTATCGATAACATTTATTTTTATGTCTCATTTAATCAACCCTTTACCCTATGTTGTATTTTGAATTAGACTTTTCTTAACAAAAACCACAGAATTTGTTGCATTTTTGCTTTTCTTTAAATAAATCACTTGAACGCTTTGATTAAACATATTTAATGTGTATCTTTAAATAGAAACACTTTACTTTGAAAAAGCTTATATTTATATCTCTCTGTGTTTTAATTCATCAAGGCACACTTTTGGGAATCTCGTCTTTGAATCACAATCCTGGATTACATCTGGTAATTCCAAAATCAGCCTCTCTGTACCACTGGCTGCAAAGATCCAAAATTTATTTCTAAGGGAAAAGGAGCAGAGGATCAGTGTTAATGGGCATTAAGCCTCCAGCAGCTCTCCAGAGATACCAGAATGTAGAGAGCATAGAAGGACAGGAAGAAGAGCTGCTACCGAGGCTACAATCAGATACAAGGGACTTCAGTCCAGGCCCAAAACATAACTTGAGGAAAGAACCGCTGCCTAATTCACATGAGTATAAAGGCAGATAAAAACTTTGGGTCAGTCACTCTCTCTCAGCCCAATTTA